CGACTGCTGCCGACGAAATAAATGCTTGCCTTAAATCATCAAATCTTTGGCGCTATGTGAAGAAACTTCAACTGGTAACAAACATGAGTTGCATTGGTAAACGATACATCTGCTGAAGAGTTCTCCAAGCAATTGCTGTAAATCGGTAATGGCCGTGTAGCTGTTGAAGAATCGAGCGGATTAATTGCATTTCCTTCAAATTTTTGCAATTTCGTTTCATCAAAAGACGAACTCATCAATGAAGTATTTCCGATCATTGATAATCATAAAAACAAAAAATGGTTGAGTGAGCGAGCAATTTTGGCAGCTAAGAACAAAGATGTGAATGACTTAAACTTTGTAATTCAAAATCAAATCGTTGGTACTCTGCATACATTCAAATCTATTGACTGTGTAACAAACGAAGAAGAAGCTACCAACTATCCAACTGAATTTTTGAACTCCTTAGATGTGCCTGGCTTACCACCGCACAATTTACAATTAAAGATTGGTTCGGTAGTCATTATGCTTCGAAATCTAAACCAACCAAAACTATGCAATGGAACGCGTTTAGTGATAACAAAACTGATGGCCAATGTGATTCACGCAATGATACTCAAAGGAAAATTCAAAAGTGATGAAGTTCTCATTCCGAGGATTCCAATGATCTCAATCGATATGCTCTTTGAGTTTAAACGAATTCAATTTCCTATTCGGCTTGCATTCGCTATGACTATAAATAAATCACAAGGTCAATCCTTTAGTGTTTGTGATCTGAATCTAGAAAATGCATGTTTTTCACATGGTCAATTGTACGTGGCATGTTCACGTGTAGGCAAACCATCTGCTTTATTTGTTCTTGCGCCTGATAAAAAAACAAAAAATATCGTATATCACAAGGTTCTTTATTGAAGAGAATCAATCAGAGTGCAACCCATAGGTTCTTGCTGACAGACTATTAAAATAATTAATTATATATCAATATCCTAATAAACTATTGAATACAATAAATTTTTTGTATTCATTTTATTACTTTAATAAATTTCTAAATTTAGTTTACCTATAATTTAATATAACATTTATTGACTGTTACGCGGTACGAAGTTCGCGGGCTCACCTAGTAAAGTTATATATAAAATAATTGAAAAACAACTGAAATGTAAAAGCACGGTTAATTCGTGTTTTCCTATTTTTTAATCTTGTTAAATCTAAATCTTGATAATTCGTAAACCCCTCTAATTCGTAAAAAATACTGTTTTCTTGCGATTTTGAATTATCGGGATTCGACTGTATAAGCGTTCTTTCAGAGTTGCCATCAAAAACATTGCTTAT